AAAAAAAAAAAAAAAAAAAAAAAAAAAAAAATCCTGCTTTACTCTTCAGTTGCTTTTAATTTTAAATTTTTTTTTCTTTTTTTGAGAAAGTCTATGTAGCTCAGGCTGGCTTTGAACTACCAATCACCCAGCTTCAGTCTCCTGAGTGCTGGGATTGCAGGTATGCTATTTTAAAATTTTTACCATCCACTTTACCTTCTCTCTTTCCAATCCATAATTCTCTCTCTTCCTGTAATCAACAATTAGGATCAGTGAGGGGAATGCACCAGGCAAGGAAACAGAAGAAAAAAAGCAAGCCTTAAAAATAATATTTAAAAACTAAATGATAATGCATATATTTTTGCCTTATAATTGCTTCTTTAAAAAAAAAAATTCTGCAGTGCTGGGTATTGAACCTAGGGCTTCAACCATGATAGGCAAGTGCTCTCCTACTGAGCTACACCCCAGCCTTCCAAGTGCTTGGGTTATAGGCATGCACCACCAGTCTTCTCCTGTGAAGTTTAGAAGCATCCCAAACCAGTTTTCTTTGAGTAATCTATATTCAGGAATAAACCATCTTTTAGGAGAGAAACATTCATTTTTTGACATGAGACAGCAACAGAAGATGCCCATAAAATGTAATACAAATAAACTTGCTTGTTTGCATTAATTTTCTTGATACCTCACAAGCTTTTATCCTTAAAACCAACGCTGGTGGGAAGGAGCACAGAACAGAAGGAGGCACCTAGGAGAAAAGTTAGGGATCCTGGTGTGCAAATATTCAGGAGGAAAGAGGTGGAAGGTTACCTTGCTCTGCGTAGGTGCTGTTCAGTTCTCGAAACAGAGGAGCGATGATCACTGGGAGGTACGGCTTGACCTTGTCCACCCCAAGATCCACTGCTGCAGCACCGAGGAACTTAAAGATGCATGTCCTCTGAAAGTGAAGATGGGTTTCATTTGAAATGTTTCCCTTCCAGTCACACAAACACACAGCGCTAATTTACAAGATAGTGTTCAGTCTGTTTTGGGACAGATGTTATTGCTGCAGTTTTAGGTTCAAATGTAAAGTTCCTAGAGACTTGGGAGGATCACTAATAACATTACTTAAAAAGAAAAGAACAGAAAAAAATCAAAGGTTACTTTGCACCATCCTGTCGCACCTTTAAAGGAATTCTAGGTGAATAAGCAGCTTCCCGTTTTGCCATCCAGGACAACTTCTGGATCAGCCAGAGCAGTGTGGCTGGCTTGCTGGGCTCTTCCTTTTCTTCTCTGTCAGACCCCGCCTCTCCATCTACGCAGGCTTTGTGTTCTTCTAATGCTTCTCTAGCCACACAATCTTTTAAAGCTTCCTGTTCTTCAGAGGCTTTTATCTCGCCTTGCTTATCCTTGGAATCATGTTCTAGTAAATATAAGACTTTTGCTACGAATAATAAATTCTTAATAACCTTTAAAAAAGGCAAGGGGAGGGGGAGGAAGAAATTAGATTTGGAAACAAACATGGCTCCTTAGGGCATAAGCTAAAGTAGGCATTGCACAACTGGAAAATTTAAGCAAACAACTGGGTACTACACTATTAAACTGATAATGGCTTTATTTAGGTACTTCTGTATAGTGTGTCCAAACCTACTGTCATGTCTCTCTCATCCCATTGGTCTCATTCTGTCTTTAAGGTTACACAGATTTCCCTATTGACCAGCCATTTACATTTTTAAAGAAAGCTTTCATCCCTACTCCATTAAGTTCTTTCAAACATTCTATGGGGAAATAATATTAATTGAGCACTGATTAGTTGCTTCATGTACAGATGCTAATTCAATTTTAAAAGATCCCTATCAGGTACTATAACTAGGAGAGAAAACAAAGGCTCACAGTTACTGACTCATGCAAATACAAACTGAGTGGTCAGTCAGGATTCACAGATCTTTAAAATTCTAGGCAAAATTCTTAAACCTTGAGCCTTTCCTTCAAATCCATCTAATCCTGTTTGTTAGAATTTTGGTCTTATAATGGACCCATTCACTAAGTCCCTATCTCTATGACATTTATGAAATCTCTGAAGTATTTTACACCAGTGTGAGGGAGGAAAACAAGTTATTTTTTTGAGCTCCTTCATCACCTTGGTTGCTTTGCTAGATGTACCTCATGTCAAAGCTCTCCTAAATGCAGTGCTCAGAACCCCATACTCTCCATGGTTTAGCCGTTAAAGAGTTAATGCCAGATTGTAACTTCCTTCTTCGGGAAGCGTGGCCTCCATGAATACAGCCCAGGTTTGGAGGCCTTCTCTCCTAGGACAATTCCTTCATGTTGACTCACGCTAAGATTATGCTCAACTAAAATCCCTAACTGCTTTTAGTTCTTCTTTCCTGTGATCTACCAGCCCCTCTTAAAACTGTGAACTTACATGGGACATGACCCACTGTCCAACTTGGCAGGATTTGATTTTTTTTCTTTTTCATGGTGGCACTGGGGTTGGAACTCACAATTTCACACTTGCTAGGCAAGCTCTCCACCACTTAAGCCATGCCCAGCCTTGATTTCTTTGGCCTCACTTTGCCGTCCATCTAATGGCTACCCATTCTTTCCCTGACCCTGCCATATAACGAAGTCAGCATGTTTTATCTTCATTACAAACTATGACAGAAGGTCCAGTGTTTATGACATGCAATCAACCTTTAGATATGAATGGTGACCTAATTTCTAGTGCCCTGTTTCTTAATCTTCATTGCTCTACCTTATCCACAATAATTTATGAAGGACATGATAAAGGGTCAAGGGACGGCCAAGGTCCAGTGGTGGTGCTGGCTCACCATCTACCACACCAACTACTCTGTCAAAGGAGAAAGAAGTAAAGGGGAGTCACGGACTACTCAAAGCAATTTGCATTTACTGGGTATTGATACCTGTCTTCTCTATATTTACACTTTATTTATACCACATTGTAAAATATGAACATACGTAACCCCCTTTTAATGAAGGAATGATTTATTTGCTTCTTTTAAGGACAGTTCTTAGACCATGGTAAGTTCTAGGGGTAAGGGAAGGAAATACATTAGGAAAATAATCGATCAATCAATGTCCTTTACAGTCACAAAGTAGATACATTAAGGCTGAAGATGAAAAGATTTACAGTCAGCCTCCCACTGCATCATTTTTATTGGGAATTGCAAACACAGACAACATAGACACCAGAATCAACTAGATATATGTGTATAAATAAACATGCATTTGAATGTATGTCTGTATTTTATCAAATTTAGAACAGGTTGAAAACTAAATAACAAATGTAAGCCTATTCCTAGACTGTTGGTAGAATAGTAAGTCACTTCTATTGACTCAGGAGGACTATAATTCTTACCTGCTCGCCTGAAGATTGATCCAAAAATTTGGAATGCAATTGATGGCAAGAGGCTAGAGAGATACTTTTCATCTGTGAAAAGAAATGATAGTCATAATAGGACATTTCTGATTGTCTTTAAAAACTAACTATAACAACTAACCATAACATAGCTGATATATTACATTTTGCTCTGCAAGACCACCTATACAGATTTGGAGAGAAAAGGTTCAAGACCAGAAAATGCAGAACTGTTCCATTCTATCTGCCAAAGGAATGGAATTCTTTCACTCTAGGGTGATACTGATAACAGTACTTGGACTATTAGTAGAATACTTGCAACATTCCAATATGCTTTTTCTTTTCTTCCCTTTCATCCTCCACTCATTTGATATTTATGGAGTCCTCACTATGAGTCAGACATTGTTCTAGGCCCTACCAATGAGACTGCCACTATAAACAAGTTCTTAACAACTTTTAAAAAATGTGGAGAGGAGGAAAGAATTAGACTTTGAAACAAACATGACTTGTTAGAACATAAGCTAACATAGGCATCTACAATTAGAAAATAAAAACAAATAAATGGGTATCACACTATATAATATGGCCCCCACCTAACATATTTATGAGCAGGATCTCATTTAGTCGTCAATAAGGTTATGAAGGAAGCAGGACAGAAAGTATTAATCTTATTTTCCGACATGCTAAATAAGCAAATCAGAAGTCTGATTAGATTGATGGTCAAAGGTTGGCCTTGAAGGTGACCTCTCTCTAGTTACTAATGATCGTTTTTTGGGGGGTAGGGTGGGGAATGAGTATGGGACTGGAGTTTGAATTCAGGGTTTTGAGCTTGCAAAGCAGGTACTGGCAAAGTAGGCACTCTACTGCTTGAGCCACACCTCCAGTCCATTTTGGTCTAGGTTATTTTGGAGATGGGGTCTCACAAACTATTTGCCGATTGGTCTCGAACCAAGATCCTACTGATCTCAGCCTCCCAAGTGGTGTCAGCCATTGGAACATGCCTGCTACCATTCCTATTGATTCACACATGTGACACATTGTCAGTTTTAGGATTTTCTCTCCAGTGCCAGCCCCAAGACAGTCACAAAGCCAGAGTGAACATGTCACTTACCTTGGTGGTAAGTGGCTCAAGTGGTAGAGCACCTGCCTAGCAAATGTGAGGCCCTGAGTTCAAACCCCAGTATTGCCTAAAAAAAAAAAAGAAAAAAAAAATCAAGAGAAATCTTACCTTTTGGTCAAGGTCACTTGTTAGGAACTGGACTGCTATAGGCTCTGAGAGTTTCTTTTTTGTCTTTTTGGCATTCCATTTTCTAACAAGCTCTTCTGGTTGGCAAGAGGCAAAGAGCAGCCCAAAAATCTGGGCTGCAGTGAGCCACACCCAGTTGTGTGGATGTCTCAGGTGAGAGTGCACGTGACCTGGGGGGAACCAAAATGCGTTCTCAGACATCTCACAGCCTTCCTCATCCTCTGGTGGCAAACAGGACTAATTAGGCATACACTGAGTATCTATTATATGGTTGGGATGGGGAATCAAAGCTGAACAAAAGAGTCCCTGCTTCTCAGAGGCTCACAAGGAGCCATGGAGAAGGTGGAGAGACTTTGGAAACAACTGAACAACTGAAAACCAACTCTACGTGGTAAGTGACACTAAACAGGCACATGTAAATCACCGGTTCTATGTGAACTGGTTCCATGTAAACATACAGACCAGCTTCATATGAACATGTTTCAGATGCAACGGAAATGAGATGACATCAACATTACATTTTCAAAAGTGTATAGATATGTGTTTATTTCTAATACTGAAATTAGTGGCTCCAAGTAGTTCTCTTGGAAGCTACCATTATGGAAGGCTTTCCATGGGCTAGGCACAGGGCTAAGAGGGTTATATGTAACACCTCATTTAAACCCCAAAATTCTGTGAGGTAGACACAAACACTGTCACTTTCATCTTACAGATGAGGAAACTTGTTCCAGAGAGGTCAAGTGTCATGCCAAGCTACCAGAGGCATAGATGGGATTGGGCCCCAGCTCAGTATGACCCAGAACTCTTAATTCTCAGCCTAGGCTACATAGCTGCTCTCCTTATACCACACCTGGAATGGATAGTTGAAAGCTCATATGATGTGGATGTCACAAACAGGATGGATTAACCATGACATGTCTCAGTTTTAGTCTCTATTTCACGAATAGGGTTCTTACTTTCATTCTGTATTAATATCCAGGTAATAACTATTAATATGTTAAATTAAAATCCTGGAGTTTTATTTTTCATTTACAGAATATTATATGGTAACTTAAAATGTCCCACAGAAGTGAAAATCATGACACATTTGCACAACAGACTGCTATATAGCTACTGAAAAGGCACCGAGTTGTAGTAATATGCTTACTTAGGTACAAATAGGTTATAAAGTTCACATGGAACTAAGCAACCTTTATACAACATTTATACCCATTTTTTTTGGTGGTACTGGGATATTGAACCAGGGCTTTGTGTCTTTTTGGGAGGTACTCTACCCTTTAAGCCATAACCCCAGCCCACCTATGCTTATTTAACAAAAAGGATGGAAATAGAGACCATGTGTACATAATTCAAAACATCATGCTGGTTATGGTAAGCACATGTAATTCTTATTTGTTAATTTACCTTACCAAAGCTAGGGGGAAAGGGAGGAGAAGCGGAGGGAAAAGGAAGCGAGAATGAGGGGAAAAGAGAAATATACACGAAACCATCACTAAGCACCAAGTAGGACATGGGCAATTTATTCCTATTCTTATATCCCCCACCATTAATATCCTTTCATAAATGAAATGTATCAATTATAAAGTTATAAAATTTATTTTTTCTAGAAATGCTTCCACTATCATCAATCCAATGGGGTATTTAACATTTTTTCCCTCATGGACTTTTTGGCTAATGTACTTTCTGAAGTGTTACTATTCGAATTCCTCAAATCTATTTTCAGTAATTTGATCACAACTGCTGTACTTAGATTTAAGTAAGGAAATACTTACTCCAGATTTTATTCAAAGTATCAGAAGGCTTGGTAAACTGGATGAAATTACATTCCTTCATGAGTTTACCGATGAGTGTGAGAAAACTAAACAGCAGGCGGTCTGCAGCCTTCTCCTCAGTCTCCTCCATGATCTGAACAGAGTGGGGGCACATCAGTTAGACATGGCAGTACCTGGTGCCCACGTTTGCTCCAATATGCAGACCTATGCCAGGGGTTCTCAATTCAGCACTGTAAACAGCTTGGGCCAGATAATCCTTTCTTTTGGGGGCTGTCATATACACTGTAGGTAGAAATACCAGTGGCACCCTCCAGTTTTAACAATTCCAAGTATCTCTGGGCACTGACAAATGTACCCTGGGGGTCAAGATTTTCTCAGCAGAGAACCTTCAATTCATATATTGTGGAAGATAACTTAGCTTTACCTCTGTATTTTCCCCTTTTTCTTTTTGACTCAGGTGGGACTTAAACTCCCAATCCTCCTGCCTCAGAATCCTGAATGTTGGGATTATAGGCAAGTACAAATACACAAGGCCTCATTTTTAAAAGAGTTTCCAATTGTATTGAGTTCTTGCTTTTACTAGCAAACAATATTTTTAAGCACAATAATCACATTAGCTATACTATCTCAAGTAAAACTTTTAAATTAGCAAAATTTATTCCCCAGCAAATTACTTACATCTTCAAAGTTTTCAGGATCAATTTCTTTTTCAACTACAGGAAGAAGAGTTCCAAGTCTTCTCTCAAAATCAACTCCTTCACTTTCCACAAACAAGCCACAGATCAGGGCAGCAAGTTGTCTATTTAATCTCTATCAAATCAACCACCATAAGACAATGTCAAATTATAAAATGAATGTAGGCAAGGGGTGATAAGAGTGTCTCAAATGGTAGAGCACCAGCCTAGCTAAGTATGAGACCCTAAGTTCAAACCCCAGAACCACCACAAAAAAAAAAAAAA